CCCCCCAATAGCTAGCAATCCAAAACAGTCCAGTGGAGCCCGAGCGGTGGGTGTTGCCTTCTGACACACTTCTGGTGAGGTCAGGGGGTGTGGCATATGCAAATAAGTTATGCTAATGAGTTATGCTAATGAGCTCCTGCACCTCTTTTTCTACGAAATGACCCCTGACCAAGGCCGACCCTGCTTAGCTTCCAAGACCTGACAATGTTGGGCCATCCAGGTCAGGGCAGAGACAGAGGTGGTTTTGCCCTTGCCTGCCCCTGCGTAGCAACCCTGGACTTCCTTGGAGGTCTCCCACCTTCGTGCTAACTGGGGGGCCGACACTGCTTAGCTTCCGAGGCCATCGGGCCAGGCTGGGTCATCCATGAAAACCCTAGAAGCAAATCAAATCGAATCAAACCTTTAGCGGCATACAGAATAAACTAGGGCAGATCACAGCATTGTCAGAAGAAGAGGACTAAAAAAGAAATACAGTAAAAATTTAAATATATAATATCGAATCATCACTTGTGTCTTATCTTGACGGATCTTCGTGGCACGTTGAAGAAATGAAACGGCCTTCTCAGTTATGCCAGGAAAAACATCGTTCAGAATGTATCGGACCTGAATATGATCAGACAATCCCGTCTTATTTTCATGAATAGGGTTTGCATAAAAAGGGCAATAAAAGAGGATATGTGAGATTGTTTCAATACATTTTAACTTAACACAGGCAAAGTCTAGCAGAGTGGGCTGCCCTTTGAAATCTACCATATAGAACTGCTGACGGTATGACTTGGGGTGTATCAACAGAGGCATAACATCCAAATTGCAAGATGTCATAGTCCCACTGTACACTGCATTGGTCAGGCCGCACCCTGGAGCAATGCTCCCTCTAAGCTGTGGAGTCTTGTGAGCAAAAATTCTACTTTGTGAATTATTGGCATGAAAGTTGTGAGCGAGCGATTTGGCTACTGCATAAATTAGAAGAAGAAGAGGAGATTGGATTTATACCCCGCCCTTCACTACCCAAAGGTGTCTCAGAGCAGCTTACAAACTCCTTTCCCTTCCCCTCCCCACAACAGACACCCTGTGAGGTAGGTGGGGCCGAGAGAGCTCTGACAGAGACTGCTCTTTTTCAAGGACAGCTCTTATCAGAACTACGGCTTGCCCAAGGTCATCCAGCAGGTGCAAGTGGAGGAGTGGGGAATCAAACCCAGTTCTCCCAGATTAGAGTCTGTGCACTTAACCACTACTTAACCAGTTTGCTCTGGAGCCATCCTTCCTGAGCTAAGACAAAAATGTATGAGCCGTAGGCTAAAAAACTGTGAGCTAGCTCACACTAACTCAGCTTAGAGGGAACACTGACCTGGAGTCTTGTGTGCAGTTCTGGAGGCCTCACTTCCAAAAGGATGTGGACAGAATGTAGCAGGTGCCGAGGAGAGTGACGAGGATGATCAGGGGCCTGGAGACCAAGCCCTGTGAGGAAAGGCTGAGGGACTTGGGAGTGTTTAGCCTGGATAAGAGGAGGTTGAGGGGGGACAGGATGGCCCTTATGAAGGGTGACTTTGCAGTCAGCAGGGCATCACCCCAAGGTATTTGAATGTGGTTTTGAGCTGCACTTTTTCCTCCCTGTTGAGACAATGTGGAGTGAATGCTAGATGCAGAATCGCCTGTATAAAGGAGGGCAGGGAGCTGTTCCTGTTGGCAGCAGATGATAGGACTTGCAATCATGGGTTTAAATTAAGAGCAGGAAGGTACCCGCTGGATATTAGGAAAATCTTTTACAGTAAGAGTTGTGCAACAGGGGAATCCGCTGCCTCGAGAGGTGGTGAGCTCCCCTGCCGCCTCCCTCGCTGTCTTTAAGAAGTAGCTGGACAAACCCTTGTCAGGGATGCTCTAGGCTGAGCAAGGGGTTGGACTAAATGGCCTGTATGGCCCCAGCCAACTCTGTGATTCTGTGATGTTAAATCTGGCCAAAGAGAAGGCTCTGTACTGTTGGAGATTTTGCAGAGAGTAAAGGTAAGGGGCTGTGGTTGGTGACCTGAATTGAATGTTATCCCTAACTTGAAAGGAGAGCAAGTTTTATTAGCACCACTTGCGAGAGCATAAGTGGTGAGTCCAATAAGGCTAAGCCAATCGTGCTGATCTTTTTCTCAGTACAGGCCAGCCAGTTAGAAGATCTAGATTCCGAGAGCATTTGGAACCCCCACAGTGCAAATAGCAAAGGGAGGAGACCATTTTGTTATGAAATACTGAAGTGTAGTGGGTTAGACGCATGTAGAAACCACTGAGACCGATGTAGTGATCAGCATGGTTTACTGGTACACAACAAAGAGAAAGACTAACGGCCGGCTGGCCAACTATATACACACCTGGGGACGCCCCCCCTAGGTCCCGTTGGTGTGTTTAAATCACCCGCCACGGTCCTATTGGTTCCCCAGTGGAGAGACCAGGAGCCTAGTCCCCATTGTTCTTACAGAGTCAAGCTCTGGGGTATTCACTGGCCCCTGGTGGCGGTCAGCGGACATAACAAATATATATTAGTGAGGACTTGTACTTCTGGCTGCGTAAAGGTAGGAGGACTTGTCCACAGTATGGTCTAATGGGATCACAAGATGCAACGTGGGAGAGACTGTATTCCCCCCTCCCAATAGAAGAAGAAGAAGAGATTGGATTTATACCCCTTGCCCTTCACGACCCAAAGGTGTCTCATAGCGGTTTACAAACTCCTTTCCCTTCCCCTCCCCACAACAGACACCCTGTGAGGTAGGTGAGGCTGAGAGAGCTCTGACAGAAACTGCTCTTTTTCAAGAATAGCTGTGCCAGAACTATGGCGTGCCCAAGGCCATCCAGCCAGGTGCCAGTGCATTTGCCTCTTATGTTAGCCGCCCTGAGCCTATGTGGAAGGGCAAGATATAAATCTAATAATAAATAAATAAGAGTGGGGAATCAAACCTGGTTCTTCCAGATTGGAGTCCGCGCACTTAACCACTACACCAATTATTTACATTACTAGAAATCCAGGCGATTTGACTTAGAAAATGGTGCCTAGTGGAAAAGTTACTCCCCTTCCCAAACTGGCAGCCACCTCCCCACCAACGCCACCGTGCTGTGCAATCTGGCCCTGAGTTCAGATCCATGTCTAATCCCTTCCACCCGATTTTGCCCCCACATGCAGGGTCTGTAACCCGAAACCGCCCACTGGCTCAGCAATCAAACTTTACAAACTGCTTAGACCACATTCTCCAGAAGTGTTTAAAGAGGGTGGGGTGATCGCTTTTATTCAGGGCGTCTCGCACACCTTTGCGGCAATCGCAAAAAGGGAAATGGGAAGTGAGTGACGGGGCAAGTGCAGTGTGCCAGCTTCCCTCCCTACAACAACTCCCGTGCTCTCATGAAATGGCATTGCTGGCTTTAGTTCTCTCTTACCCGGTGTACATTGGCCTAGTGTGTGCGCTGATTGTTTTAGTTTCCTGTTTCGCAACGGGCTCTGGAAAATCGGCGTTTAAATTGCCACCTGGTCCCAAGCCTCTTCCTATCATTGGCAACCTGCATTTGCTGGATATTAAGCGGCAAGACAAATCCTTAATGAAGGTAGGACACAAAAAACGGTTTTGTGCAGTGAGATTAAACACACTGCTGTGCAAATTCAGTATGGATATTCTAATTTGTGTTTTTTTACCCCTCATTAACTTTGAATTGCGTTTCGGGGATATGTTTAAACCAACGCTCTGTTTTGCGTTAGATTGCAAATACGTTTCATTTACAGTTTGACAGGATGGTTATTTCTTTGATGTGTGATGCTGTTGTTTTATTACACATTTCATTCGCTCCCTCTGACTTTAAACAAGATTACTCCAGAATAAGTATACAGACTGCAGGGATGAATTTCTTTTTTTAAATTGGTCCCCCGCCCATTAATGTGCAATTATTTTTCCTCCCACGTAACGGTTAGCACGAAACACACTCTATACAGTACTTGTAAGATTTCAGTGTACTAATTTGACAGTTCCCCGTTCTTTAAAGACAAGGACAGTTTGCAAACAATTGACACTAGGAGAACATCTCCTACAGTTATTTCTTCCAGAATAATGAGGTGCGAGAAATTAAGATACTGTTTTGGACAAGGAATACACAGCTTTTATTATTTACTACATTCAGTTCTCTTTAAGTCGTTTTTTTCAAAAAAAGGTGCCGGCATGTCCACCACTTTGTGAATTATATTCAGGGGGGAATATGACTTTTTAATATATATTGGGGGGATTTAAATCCCCCCAATGTGTTTTTTTCAAGATTTCAGATTTTTCTGCAAACTTGGGGGAGGTCTCCCAAGCTTGCAGGAAAATCTGTGTGCTGTCAGTATGGCCCTCGTCTGTAGATTTAGATATCCACAGACAGGGCGACACTTGAGAAATAGATATATAAGGAGAAATAGATCTATAAAGAATTAAAAGACTGAAACATAGTTCTTCTTATACTTTTATATTGTGAACACACTGGTATAAATGCATTTATTTACATTACTAGAAATCCAGGCAACAAGTTTAAGGTGTAAGTGGCTCATATTCCATTTTCAGTGAGATGAACAGATAAGTGACAAAGATAAATCATTATGATTTCTGGCCGCAACCAAACTGCTACTCCCATCTCTTAAATCTATCCAGCTCCATCAGTTTAACAGACCACATTTCCTTGCCTGCGGGCCAGTGCAGAAGGCCGTAGGGTATGGTTGCCAACTCTGGGTTGGGAAATTCCTGGATATTTGGGGGTGGAGCCTGTGGAGGGCTGTGTTTGGGGAGGGGAGGGGCCTCACCAGGGTGTAACGCTCTAGCGCCCATCCTCCAAAGCAGGCATTTTCTCTAGGGGAACTGATCTCTCTAGTCTGGAAACCAGCTGTGAAAGTGGGTGATTTCCAGGCCCCACCTGGAGTTTGGCAACCCTATAAATTAGCAAGGGAGCAGGCGTAGGACTATGGAAATCTAAAACAAAGCATTGCAGCTGTTTCATTGGGGATGTAGTTCCTCCTCAAGAAACGACTGCTCTTTCACTAGTTGTGTTTCCCCAGGACTCAAAGCGGCCTGGAAAATGCCACGCACCGTTGTGGAATGCCGTCGGGAAGGTGTTGTCACTGGGGGAGAATGGCACGGGGGCAGTTGGTGTTTGTTTAAAGGGGGCACTCCCATGTCGCAAAGGCGCTTTCGAGCGCACACTGACTGCGCACACACAACAGTTTACTTCCACGGGAGGAAGTCAAGGGGTTGTGCCAAGACACTGCTTTCACTTTGGGGCCCCAGCCAGTCAGAATCCAGATGGTTCAACCTCTGCCCTTCGCTAGGGTGAGGGTCAGGCCATAGAGCCGGAAGATGCGTTTTGTATACGGGAGATTTCACACATGCTGAATAATGCACTTCCGATCAATTTACGAAGCACTTCAGTGATTGTCTGCCAGCGTGTTTTGCTACTTCACACCGTAAAACCCACTCGCTAAGTGCAGCATTCCACAATACCTGCTGAATTATGCAACTGGATTTTACTGTGTGAAACGGCAAAACCCGCCAACAAATGATCACTTAAAATGCACTGAAAAGCATTATCCAGTGTGTGTGAACGAAAACAGACTCTGTTGCTACAGTAGAAAAGAGCAGGGGTCATTTCCTGCAGGAGCGCACAGGAGCGGAGCTCCGGCAGTAAAGAGCTCAGGGGCGGGCGCATGCAACAAGCCCCACCCCCTGCTCCCAGCAGGCCTCAGTCAGAGCAAGAAGCAGCCAGGTAAGTTGCAGAGCCCCCCCCCCACGGCCCCACGGTCCAAAACAGTCCAGTGGCACCTTTAAGACCAAGTTTTTTTCAGGTACAAGCTCTCCCTCCTCTGTGAGGACAGATCTGCACGTCCGTCCCCCCCCCAGTAGCTATCAATCCAAAACAGTCCAGTGGAGCCTGAGCGGTGGGTGTTGACTTCTGACACACTTCCAGTGATGTCAGGGGGTGTGGCATATGCAAATAAGTTATGCTAATGAGTTATGCTAATGAGCTCCTGCACCTCTTTTTCTACAAAATGACCCCTGGAAAAGAGCGAGAGTCCAGGAGCACCTTAAAGACTAGCAAAAATTGAGGCAGGGGAGGAGCGTTCGTGAGTCAGTGCTCACTTCAGTTATCTGGATTGACTCAATCAAGGTATCTTCAGACATCTTCAGGTATCCGAAGAAGCTTGCAGTGACTCACGAAAGCGCCTACCTTGCCACATATTTAGCTAGTCTTTCAGGTGCTCCTGGACTCTTGGTCTTTTCTACTGCTACAGACAGACTACAATGGCTACCCGTCTTGATCTGTCTCCACTGCTTAGAGTCCAGTGGCACCTTGAAGACCAACAAAGGTTTATTCAAGGTATGAGCTTTCGTGTGCACGCACAAAAGCTCATACCTTGAATAAACCTTTGTTGGTCTTCAAGGTGCCACCGGACTCTAAATTTGTTCTCCTGCTTCAGACCAACACGGCTGACCCACCTGTTGCTACACCTTAAGTAGCACTGGAGCGCTCAAGAGGTCATGTAGCTTTCCTCAAAACACTGGAAACCATCAGCAAACCTACCCATTTCCCCTTTACAGCGGAACTGCATCATTCTTGGGGGGCAGGGGGAGAAAGGGGAATCTTTCTAACATGATTGCCAACCTCCAGGAGGGGCCTGGAGATCTCCCGGAATGACAACTGACCTCCAGATGACAGAGATCAACCCTCCAGGAGGAAACTCTCTGGCTCTCCTTCTCCCCAAACTCGACCTTCCCCAAATCTCCAGGAATTTCTTAATTTGGAGCTTGCAACCCTAATTAAGCAAACTCCGGAGCATGACGGAAGACAGGAGGGCCTGGTGTGATGTGGTCCATGGGGTTGCGAAGAGTCGGACTTGACTGTGCGACTGAACCACAACAACTACAACCCTAATTAGAAATGTAATATCCCTCCACTGCCGTGGAGCCCACCCCGCAGTTGTCTGGAAACAGACAAAAGGAAATACTGCTTCATGCGAGTGTTCCCTCTAAACTTTGGAGTCTTGTGAGCAAAAATTCTACTTGGTGAGCTGCTGGCATTAAAGTTGTGAGCGAGCGATTTGGCTGCTGCATAAATTCGTTTGCTCTGGAGCCATTCTTCGTGAACTAAGACAAAAATGTGTGAGCCAGAGGCTAAAAAACTGTGAGCTAGCTCACACTAACTCAGCTTAGAAGGAACACTGCATGCAGCAGGGAGCTGGCTTGCAGGACTCACTGCCACGGTGACATTTTTTTTAGTGTGTATGTCTTTCTTCTTCGTTGTCTGTTTTATGTATGTTTCTTCTTTTATTTTCTCAATAAAAGCTAAAATTCTACCCAAAAAAGAGAGAAAAAGCCAGCTGCTGGCACATCAAGAGCTCCTGTAGAAGCTCAGTTGTCACAGGCGAGGGACCGGGAACTCCATGCAGAAGAGGACTATAGTGTCCCACGGTTGCCAGCTCCAGAGTGGGAAATTCCTGGAGATCTGGGGGTACTGCCTAGGGAGGGCAGAGGGTGTGGGGGTGGGGAGGGAACTCTGTGGGGCAGGGTGCCATGGAGTCCACCTTCCAAAGCAGCCATTTTCTTCAGGGCAACTAAATCCCCATACTCTAGAGATCGGTTGTGATTCCAGGAGATCCACCTGGAGGTTGGCGACCCCGCCTCTTCCCTCAGGATTGCCAGTTTGCAAACCTCATTTTCTTATCTGCCTGCAGTCACACTTAAACGGGGCTTTTGAGAGAGAGAGAGAGAGAGAGAGAGAGAGAGAGAGAGAGAGAGAGAGAGAGAGGGGTGCCAGAGCTCTCAAGAGGGAAATGAAGCTTTCTATGTGTATACTGAAAACTCATTAGTTTTTAAACATTTTTAAAAGAATTTTGTTGCAGACGTTCTGGAACCCTGTTCCGGCCGGCATGCTCCCCCAGAAAAAAAGCCATGTATTTAAAGTTCATCACAGCCAAATGCAGATTCGTTGCACCGCCCTCACCATTGTCTTCCTTGCTTTCTTCTGCCCTGTTTATTTACATCCCGTTCTTCTTCCATCCTGGAACTCGAGCAGCCTCCATCGGGTTTCTGGTTGGCCTCATGTCCAGGCATGTATCAGACCCACACCTAGGGTTGCCCTCCAGATGGGGCCTGGAGACCTCCCAGAGTTACAACTGACCTCCAGAAACAGAGATTTATTTATTTATTTCAATTTATATCCCAGTTTGCCTGTGCAGCACTGGCTCAAGGCAGCCTACACAGCTAAAATGCAATAGAACTAATAAATACAGTACAAATTCACAATTAAAAGACAATTACATAAGGTGCTAATATATACAGATGGTGGCGACATACAGATATCTATACATGGTCCGATAAGAAAAGGCCATGTCCAGCGTAGTACTATGGGGCTGTGGCCTGTTCAATTTATGATGGTTCTTTTGCTCAATCTACGATGGCTCATTCATCAGTCGCGGCTCCTAATCGAAGGCCTGGTGGAAGAGCTCCGTTTTGCAGGTCCTGCAGGGCCCTGATGTCCTCTGGGAGCTCATTCCACCAGTGTGGAGCCGCCACTGAGAAGGCCCTGGCCCTGGTAGAGGCCAATTTGGTGTCTTTTGGGCTAGGGACAGTCAGATGATGTTGGGTCCCCAACCTCAGTGCTCTCTGGGGCACATATGGGGAAAGGCGGTCCCTCAGGTAGGCAGGCCCCCGACCATATAGGGCTTTAAAGGTCAAAACCAGCACCTTGAAACGGATCCGGTATGCTATTGGCAGCCCCCTTGGAAAAATGGCTGCTCTGGAGGCTGGACTCTATGTCATTATACCCTGTGGAGGTCCTCCCCCTCCACAAACCCCGCCCTCCCCAAGCTCCACCCCCAATTGTCCATGAATTTCCCAAACTGGAGTTGGCAACATTATCCACACCTGCTTAGCTTCAGCACAGGGCCTGCACCGGATTCCTTTCAGACCCTACGGTGGGACACGCCTCTCTGCAGTCTAATATGGAGTAATGGTATCTGTCCCACACAGCCTTTTCAGTGTCTGCCTTCCCTTCCAGTTCGCCAAGGAATATGGGCCCGTGTTCACCCTCCATTTTGGATTCCAGAAAGCCGTAGTCCTGACTGGTTATGAAGCAGTGAGGGATGCCCTGGTCAACTTCACAGAGGAGTTTGTGGACAGGCCGCCAATCCCCATCTTCGAAGAGATTCAGCACGGCAACGGTAAGGAGGACCTTGAATGACTCAGTTGCTGCTTCCAAACCTTGCAACAATGCAACATTTTCCTAGCTAGGCTGTTTTGCCAGGTGGAGCCCTAATTGTTTGGTGCATTTATTATTATTTTTTGCCATCAACTCACAGCTGGCTTATGGTGAACCTGTAGGGTTTTAAGGGCAAGAGAGGTCCAGAGGTGGTTTTGTTGGAAAATTTGGTAAAAATAGTTAAATATTCAGAGTTTGCAATGGATCTTTGTACACCGGAGAGGAGGCATTTTCTTTCTGTGTAAAAATCTATTTCTAAAGGGAAGGGTACATGGGAAATCTACAAAACAACAAACACTTAAGACTACATGCTTACAACAACAGACAGACCAGTTGGTAATGGAGATTCTTCTTTCTTCACCTAACAATGTCATGCTCTGGTGGAATTGGCACCAGTTTGCATTAGACACTGTCATGATCTGGGCTGTGCAAGCGAAGGCCTAGCAGGCCCAGGGAGCCTGAGTACCAGTGGGAGGAGGCCAGGCCTACAACTCCCAGAAGCCCCTGAGAGGTTTTGATGCCAATTTTAGCCAGTCACATTTAAAGGGGACTTATAACAAAAGAGCTGGTACAGAAGAAGAGCTGTTCTTTCTTCCAAGAGAGTAGAGCCAGAAGGAAGGCTGCTGCAGGGAAAAGACCCTCATCCTGAGAGGAAGGGGAGCAGATTGACGCCCGCTTGATACAGTGAGCTAGGGACAGTAAGCTTAGATGCGTTAGGGCATTTGGTTTCTTTTCCCCCCCACCCCTCACTGATATTGTTCTTGCACCTTGTTTGTTTCCCATATTGGGCTGACCTCCTGTAAAAATAAACTTTTTCCTTATTGTTTAGTTGGTAATGGAGATTCTTCTTTCTTCACCTAACAATGTCATGCTCTGGTGGAATTGGCACCAGTTTGCATTAGACACTGTCATGATCTGGGCTGTGCAAGCGAAGGCCTAGCAGGCCCAGGGAGCCTGAGTACCAGTGGGAGGAGGCCAGGCCTACAACTCCCAGAAGCCCCTGAGAGGTTTTGATGCCAATTTTAGCCAGTCACATTTAAAGGGGACTTATAACAAAAGAGCTGGTACAGAAGAAGAGCTGTTCTTTCTTCCAAGAGAGTAGAGCCAGAAGGAAGGCTGCTGCAGGGAAAAGACCCTCATCCTGAGAGGAAGGGGAGCAGATTGACGCCCGCTTGATACAGTGAGCTAGGGACAGTAAGCTTAGATGCGTTAGGGCATTTGGTTTCTTTTCCCCCCCACCCCTCACTGATATTGTTCTTGCACCTTGTTTGTTTCCCATATTGGGCTGACCTCCTGTAAAAATAAACTTTTTCCTTATTGTTTACTCTGCCTAGTCCTCACACCTATTATTTGGCCAAACAAGAGAGGTCTGAAGGTCTTGGGAGGGTGCTCTGAACCTTCTCAAGGGATCCTGAAACCAGAGTGGAGGCAGCATCAGGTGACACCCCACCTGAGCCATGACAGACACCGATTAAGCTACCCAGATTTGGGAAATGGGAACATGGCAGCCCTACAACCATTATCCTGTCCCCTATAAAAACTGGTGATCTGGGATGGAATATCTGGAATGTGGCCCAGAGGAAAACTCGCCATGGGGGAGGGACGTCCCTCCAAGCCCAGGGCTCCATCAGCAGGACAAAAGATCTTGCTTGCAGCCTAAAAAATCAAACCTTTAACATAACTCTTCCCTTGTCCAAACAAGTCAGATGAGGTAGCATCTCTGCTACTCTGGGTAGGGGCTGTGGCTCAGTGGAAGAGCCTCAGCTCTGCATGCAGAAGCCCCCAGGTTCAATCCCTGGCATCTCCAGTTAACAGGACGAGGTAGCAGGTAATGTGAAAGGCCTCTGCCTGAGGCCCTGGAGAGCCACTGCCAGTCTGAGTAGGCAATATTGACCTTGATGAGCTGATGCTCTGATTCAGTACAAGGTGGCTTCATGTGTTCCTGTGTACAGGTGTTTTCTTTTCTACGGGAGAGCTGTGGAGGACAACCCGAAGGTTCACGGTGGCCAGCATGCGCAATCTTGGAATGGGGAAGAAATGCCTTGAGGAACAAATTAATGAAGAAATCGGTTTCCTTATAGAGAGCATTAAAGCTTTTGAAGGTGAGTAGGGGGCAAGGTGAGTGGGGGTCCCAAGGTCTAGAGGCCTTCTGGAGAGATGTCAATGCCCCAATATTTTTAATTACAGGTTGCGCCCTCCAACTGCAACCCTCCTTGTTTCTCCTTGTTTCTACCTCATCCTGCCTCCAATGGGCTTATGAAAGAGCTAATAGAATTATGTCTTGCGTCTGCTAGGAATGTTATTGCATTTCACTGGAAATCTAAGAAGACACTGCAATTGAGCGATTGGTATCTGAAATTGTGGAACTTTTTTTTACAAGACAAAGTTTCCACTAGTATTCTTCGATCTGATATTACATTGGTTTCTGTCCATCATGTCTCCCTGCAGATTTAAACTGCAGGTTTTTATGCCGGATGTAAATAGATGTAATATTGAAACAACCACTAGAGGGAGCATAACACATGGGGAACAGAAACACCCCTCCCAAGCAATGGGAACATACAAACGAGGAAAAAGAAAGTGAGGGAAAGCCTGCAGTCTTCTTCACTCGCCAACTGTTGAATGCCATTACCCATTTTCTGCTGAAAACAGAAGTGAACATGAATGTGAATTCCAGTCAGTATTACTAGCTTTTATGTACTATGCTTTTAGTCATTGGAGAGGGCGCAGCAATGTCTGCTGGCCCCAAGACATAAAATTTCAAAGGGGCTCAGGGGAGAGAAGTTGGAAAGACTTGCAATGTCCGAGGATGGTTGGTTATGTCCCAGTTTTGCAAGTGGCTACTGGACGGATGTCAAGTTGCTCTGCCTTTTGGCTGCAGGTGAACCCTTTCGGCTCAGGACCTTCAACACCGCACCCACCAACATCACTTTTGCCATGTTGTTTGGAGAGAGGTTCGACTACAAGGATCCGGTCTTCCTCACACTGTTAAAACTGATCGACGAAGTGATGTGCCTTCTGGGATCACCCCTCCTGCACGTAAGCGAGGATTCTCCAATGTAGCTATTATTAATGACCTCTAGAACGTCGGATCGTTACTCGCCTTGCTCAGATCTTGCAAGCTGAAGTCCGCGGCTTCCTTGATTGAGCCAATCTATCTCAGGTTGGGTCTTCCTCTTTTCCAGCCGCCTTCAACTTATTGTCTTTTCCAGGGACCCTTGTCATCTAATAATGTGACCCCAAGTACGATCACCTCAGTTTAAGCATTTTACCTCCTAGGGAGACTTTAGGTTGCGGTCACATGCACCATTTGGTGAGGAGGGGAAGCGCCCCTATTTCCTCCAGAGGAATTTGACTCACAGTTGCGAGATCACACATCCCTTGGTGCCGCTGGCTCAGCCTGTCACTGTGTGATGAGACGCCACTGCAAGTGAACCAGGGTTTGGTTTTTTTGCCTTTTGTTTCCCATGTGCATAAACGAGGAATCGCACCTCCTCACTGAAGGTTCCCCATGGAGTATGCGGTTATGCGCATACTGCTAAATGAGGAAAAAATAATGACACCGAGTCAGGATGGAATGATCAGACCATCCTGAGTGCATTAGAGTGTGCTGGAGCAATCAGACAGGGGAAAGTCCGTCGGTGGCCCATCAGAACAAACAGGTTGCTTACCTGTACCTGGTGATCTTTGAGTGGTCATCTGTGCAGTCACACCCATGGGATTATGTGCCTGCGCTGATCTGTATCGGTGGTATGCAAAGCTCACAAAGGGACTTTCGCACCTCTCCTCCAGGCATGCGCGGGAACCCCACTGTGCATGCCCAAAGAGGAGGGGCATGGACATCCCGCCAGTTCCTTCTGACTGCTGTCATGTCAATAACCAGAGAAAAGTACTGAAGCGACAGCAGTGGGGAAGGATGGGCGGGTGGTGTGACTGCACAGATGACCACTAGAAGATCACCAGTTACAGGTAAGCAACCTGATTATCTTCTTTGTGGTCTCTGTGCATCACACCCATGGGAGATTGAAAAGCAGTGGCTCACCTGGAGGTGGGAGCTGTCACAAATTCAATGTTCTGCTGATGAAAGGACTAGATGACCAAGGTCCGCTCTGTGGTGTTCACGAACATCAACAGCGTAGTGCTTGATGAAGGTGTTCGGAGTAGACCATGTTGCGACCCCACAGATCGCTGACAGGGAAGCACCCTTCAAGAAGGCTGTAGACGCGGCCATGGATCTTGTAGAGTGCGCTCGTACAGGCACGGACAACGGGCGTTTAGCCAACTGGTAGCACAGTTTAATAGTCTCGACAATCCATTTGGAGAGACTTTGTGCTGAGATTTTAAGCCCTGCGGAATGACTGGAGTAGGAGACAAATAGATGATTGTCCCTCCTACTCGTCCTATTTAGGTAAAAGAGCAGTGCCCTCCGAACATCTAGAGTGTGGAGGAGTCGCTGTTGTCCATCTGGTTTAGGGAAGAAGTTAGGCAATAGGATCTCCGAGGTAAGGTGAAATTTGGAGACCACCTTAGGCAGAAAGGATATGTCAGAGACCAGTCTCACACCGTCCGGCAGGAACACAAGGAAAGGTGGGTCATGGCACAGAGCCACGAGTTCGCCCACCCTCCTGGCCGAGGTTATGGTGATGAGAAAGGACGTTTTCCATGCTGCATGCTTTAGCTTGCAAGTCACCATGGGCTCAGAGGGCCGCCCCATAAGATGGTGGAGCACCAGCGGTAGACCCCCCAAGGGTGAGCAGACTGGTGGATACAGGTGGAGGAGACCTTTCATAAACCTCTTTGTGACCGGGTGAGAAAAAACGGAAAAGCTGTCGAAGCCCGGGTGGTAGGCCGAAATAGCTGACAAATATACCTTGAGAGAGGAGTGCGAGAGCCCCTTCTGGCAGAGAGCAGTGAGAACAGAAAGTCTAAGACCTGGTCAATCCTGACAGAAGCCGGGGGATGTCAGTGGGGTGTATGGATAAGAAGCGGGCCCACTTCCCACTGTAGGAACGTTGCGTAGAATCTTTCCTGGCATTGAGTAGCACAGTGTTGATTCTGTCAGAGAAAGTTAAGTGTCCACGAGATAAGGTGTTAACTTGAGCTTGTACACCTTGTGGAATAGGAGGGCTCCTCCCTCTGCCAGGAGCAGATCTGGCACCTGTGGGAGGGGATAGCGCGCCTTGGCTAGCGAGAGGAGACTGGTGAACCAAGGTTGCCTTGGCCACCAGGGGGCGATCAGGATGCACCTCGTATGGACCCTCGTGAGTCTTTGGACCGTTCTCAGCAACAGAGGCAGAGGCGGGAACATATACAGGAAGTTGTTGTCCCATGGGTACAGGAGTCCGTCTCCCAAAGCCCTGGGATCCTGAGCCGCCCTGCAGCAAAATAGGGTGCACTTCGAGTTGTGCCTGGTGGCAAAGACGTCGACATGAGGCGTGCCCCACTTTTGAAACACGGGATGTAGGCAATGTTCCCTCTAAGCTGTGGAGTCTTGTGAGCCAAAATTCTACTTGGTGAGCTCCTGGCATTAAAGTGGTGAGCAAGCGATTTGGCTGCTGCATACATTAATTTGCTCTGGAGCCCTCCTTCCTGAGCAAAGACAAAAACGTGTGAGCCAGAGGCTCAAAAACTGTGAGCTAGCTCACCCTAACTCAGCTTAGAGGGAACACTGGACGTAGGTAGGTCCAGTTCAGCTTCCAGTCGTGACGCTGGGAGAGACCCCTTCTGAGCAGGTCTGCATGCACATTTGCCTTGCCAGTGATGTGTGAGGCAATGGGAAAGATGTGCAGAGGCATGCACCAGGCCCAAAGGTCCAGAGCCAGGAGGCAGAGACCGCGGGAGACCGTTCCACCCTGCCTGTTGATGTAACTGAGGGCCATCGTATTGTCGGTTAAGACAGTTACGCATTGTCCTGTGAGCAGAAGCTGGAAACATTGAAGGGCCAATTTTATTGCCAACCGTTCCAGAAAATTTATGTGTCTCCTTGAGGATACAGCATCCCACCTGTGACCTACGGAGAGGCCATTGAGGTGGGCTCCCCAGCCCCACAGTGAAGCATTGGTTGTGAGGGTGAGAGTAGGAGTGGGAGGACAGAATGGGATCCCCTCCGTCAGGTTGTCTGACTGCATCCACCACAGTAGGGAGTCACATACTTCTTGTGGCAGGAAAAAAGCAACAGATTGGGACATCCTTAGAGGCTTGAAGTGACGGATGAACCAAAGCTGGAGTGGTCGCATTTGCAACTTTGCAAAATGGAGGACTGCAGTTGTTGCTGCCATTAGGCCCAGGAGGCGTTGAATCTGACGAATGAGGAGGGCCTTGGAAGGGGCGACCAGAAGCCAATCGTCCATATATGGGAACACCGTCAGGCCACAGAGGCGGGGATGTGCCACAACAACTACCATCGTCGTGGTAAAGACCCTCGGGGCCATGCTGAGGCCAAATGGTAGACTCCTGTATTGGTAGTGGGTGCCACCTATCGTGAATCAGAGGTATTTGCGATGGGCGGGGTGGATAGTTAAATGGAAATAATAGGCATCCTCGAGGTCTAGGGTGGCCATCCAGCATCCCTGGGACAGGAGAGGCAGAATGACGGGAAGGGATGTCATTTTGAATTTTTGGTACCTTATAAAAGTGTTGAGGCCGTGAAGGTCTAAGATCGGCCTCTGCCCATCGTCCCTCTTGGGAACCACGAAGTATCGGGAATAAAAACCAAGTCCCTGGTGATCTAGAGGCACGGGCTCTATAGCACCCTTTGACAGAAGTGTGGTGACCTCCTCGAGGAGGAATGACAATGGGGTAGTGATGACAACTATAGGAAGAGGTGGGAGTTCCATGAATTCGATGGAATAGACCTTGGCTAAGATGGAAAGGACCCATTAGTTCGACGTAATGGTGGCCCAGGCCTGTTAAATATGGATGAAGGTGGGTAGGGTCGGGAGAGGTAGACATGCGGAAGTCAAAGGCCCTGCTTGCCCGGTTTGGATTGTTTCGGTCTGACAATCTGCTGTCCAGAGCCATATCTCTGTCTGGCCTGGTACTGCTGCCTATTCACAGATGGGGACCGACGTGGCCTGTAACCTTCATCCAGTGACAGCTTAGCGTATTGGTGTCTGGAGCTGTAATGAGACCATGAGTGAGGACGAAAAGGCTTCGAGGGGGCAGAGATCCCCAGTGACCTTGAGGCCTTAATGCTCTTATCCATTTCCTGGAGCGTCGAATCAGTGGAC